GGCCTGGGGTGGGGAGGGAATACTTCAAGCAGGGGGATGGCTAGCCCCATAGTGGCGAGCTGTCCGCAACTTGATTTTCCATCTTCTTGGATTTGCCTTTTTTAGTATTGTTTTAATTCTGGATATATTATGTGTTTTAGATATATTTATAGTTTTAATGTTTTTTGTAAGTTGCCCAGAGTCCCTGACTGTGGAGGAGATGGGCGGGGGAGAAATCCAACAAACAAACAAATAAATAATAAATAAATAAAGCACCTTATGCCCAGATGTTGTGGAAGAACATTTCAGTATCCAGAATATTTAGGGAATCCAGAGATAATGAGGTCAATTTTTACAAATATTGCCCTGTTTTCTATCTTGTTGCCTAAATATTGGTGCCTTTCAAAAGTTTTGCAACCTTTCATATATTCTGAATTTTAACTCCCAAATTCCCTTCTGATTATATCATGCTGCCTGGGGCTGATAGGAGTTGGAGTTCAGATCACTCAGAGGGCACTTAGTTGCCTACTCATGTCTTAATTATTTGTATATTATGAACATGGGCTTACCATGAGTAGATCCAAGTCTTTATTGATTTCACATGAATTGTCCAGTATTTCTGTGGATTCTTTTACTTGATTTTCCAGTTTTTCCAAGGAATTCCCAAAATTCTCCAGTTGTAAAAGACCATACTGAAGGAAGAAATTATGAAGTATAGGTATTCTATCTGATCTAGCATATAGTTTCAAACATTAAAAAATGACAGGTAACAGAAATAAAGATCTTAATAAAAAATGGGCTATGGGCATTTAAAACGTTAACCAGAGATTAACATTTTAAAATTTGAACAAAAAAATTAAAAGGCCAAATTTTGCATCATATAAAATCTTGTGTTATCTCCTGCTTTGACAATTAATTCGCAGTCTCCAAGAAGATGCCAGCATGCCTACAGATCTCTCCCTACATACCTGCCACCTGACTTTTTATCTTTTTTTTTTTAAAGCAGTTATGAGTAGCTAGCTTGCTACAAAGCAAAACACCAGCTTTCAATCTATTCTTTCTTTCCAAAAGATGGCCTATAAGCTTCTTGAGAAAATATAAATGAGGAACAACCAGAGCTCAGAATACATTCTCAAAATTCCAAGGGTGGCTCATTATTCCAGAAAGAGTGGGGAATCCAGATCTACAGATGAAAGGTATTTTCCAAATACAACATTCAGGAAAATTATACAAATGCGTCCCTTCCCTTTCTATTCTGAAAATGCTCATAGCAAGCAGTTTGCAGTACCTGAAAAACATCTGCTTTCATCTGTAGCATCTTTTCCAAACAGGAGATCCTTTGAAGTGGCTGGAGCTTCTCCTGAAGAAGGGGCTGTGTTCCCAGTTCAGCCAACTGAGCTATTTTATCTTCTGATTCAGAAGCCTGAAGAAAATATTCTTTGATGTCTTGAAGGCCAAGTTGCAGTTTCTAAAAAGAAAGAAATTATGCCTCAAGAAAAGCAATGCAAGACCCCCGAACTAGCTGCAGGCTGACAAGGAGGCACTGGAAGAGCCAACTATCCATCTGACTCTTACTCCCTGTCTTCTGTCTATGCCCATTTTCAAGCCCTGATGTTTTGCTACCATTGGCACAAAAGACCAGGAAGAAAGTTCATACAATGCAATTGACGTGCAGCTCATGAATATTACACAGTCCTCCCAAATCAGATTTCGGCTTCCAGAGGGCAGTCTTTTGTGCTATAAATCCAATGCTAAAACTAACTGTTTTACGTAGCAAAAAAAATTGTGTCCCACTTTATTTGTCCTAGGACCTTACAGTTCAAAAAAATCTTACAATAACAATAAAATATAAACAGTCTTTACTAAACCTAAACTGGAATGCAGAAAAGAACAAACTTTTCAGTTACACTGTGGAATGTGCTTATTGGGGAGCAAGGCACACTGAACATTGTAGGTCTGTAGAGAAAAGGTGCAGAGAATGTTATGCAACTTCACAAACAAATTTTTTAAAGTAGAAAAGGTCTGAGCCTAGAAACTCAGATTAGGGAAATACAACAACCCTACCTTGCACTTTCTAGATGTGAGAAAGGCAGTGTTTGAAGAGACTACAACAGGCTACCCAAGCCGGCAGATACCTCAATAAAAGTACAACTGAACTGAGATACATAAACTCAGAGAGTGAGAGAGTTATTTTAGTAGGTAGGGAATTGCATGAATCAGGTCCCAGCACCCACCTCCTATTATCTGTTGCCTGTCCTCTTACTTACCTAATTCATGAAACTGCTAGCAGACTCACCTGAAGGTCTTAGAATACCATTCAAACTACGAATTGTGAGAGACACCATTTACAAACCAATCAAGGCACCAAAAATAACCATGCTCTCGAGTCCTAAACACCTTAGTTCTGGCTGAGGGTATATTTTGATGTAGCCTTACTGTATCTTCTGAAAGCTAGTAAGAATGTCTTCACATACAACCTAGAACAGTGTTCCTCAACCTTGACAACTTCTGGGAATTGAAAGTCACCCATCTTAAAGTTGCCAAGGTTGAGAAATGCTGACCTAGAAGATCAGCCAGGCTGATGAGCCCCAGAGCTGCAATCTTGCATACCGTTGGGATGCTTAATTTCCTTTAACTTTCTGACTATATGTGATGAGGAATGCAAAGAAAATTAAGAAAACTGTAGCTTGGTAGGTCTACTTTATGGACAGGGGAGGGGGAAATGCAACTGAGGAGCACCTCATCTGAAGTATATAATTTAATACCATTTCCATTTAACACCAGCTACCTAAAAATCATGCCTTTTGGGGATGAGAATCACAGCTATGCAGTTAATGGGCATCAAATAAGTAGAAAATGCTAATTTACTACCATTAACGACAGATTTTGCCAATAGGACTAATGCTTGCCTGGCTTCCTCAGCCTTTTCCCCCTGTCACTGCTGCTTTTCAGGCTAAATGAGTTCCTTGCTCTAAAGGGGTCCATTTTAATTTCTTCACATTAGGCTTCCTGAGCAATTTATTAAGGCCACACACACTTTTCTAACCATTTGCAAAAATGCAGAGAACTTTACCCTAAATCCTCAACCTCAGCTAAAACTGTTAGCACAGGGAAAAAGAAGATTAGACTTAAAAGCACAAGTGGCCTGACAGATTCTTAATAGTCATTCACAACTGAAATGAAAAAAATCATCCCCATCCATTAGGGTTCTTCTTTAGAATTATTCTTTATAAAAGAAGAATTGTTTAGCTCTCCACTGCTATTTTTTGTTAGGTTGGGGGGTAGGGGGAGGACTATTAACACCAGATGGCTTTACCAATTGCTTCTTGTTTGACAAATTTATCCTTTTTTTTTTTTTACTGTTGTCCAGAGTCATGGAATTGTGTTGTAGAAAGCTGCTTCTATATTATCACACAGCAAAAGCATTTCTACTGCTGTGTTACTACTTTTTACTGCATTACTGAAGAAATTTCTGAAATATTTTCCCGTATGGTATAGATCAGTTAAATTAATATAAAATGAAAGTGGGCTTGCTCTAATCCTGCAAATACTGACTTACACACTTTTTTTTCTTTTACTTCATGAGTCAAAGATCTTGGAGGAGAAGAAAGTGGTAATAGAGGCAAGCACTCAGTGAACGAGTTGAAATGTTCTCTGCTTGGAATCACAACTGGGACTATGAGCCCCAGACTCCCTGGCTGGAAATTGTATTCCTTGGTGAAAATGGGAGGTTCAGTATCTATTCTCCACCAAGGGAGAATTTGGGAATTCTCAGTCCCAATCCCAGACCTTTGTGAGAAAAGATCATTGCTCTTTGCTTTCCCCTGCCTGTAGATTATACTTCTTGTTTGAGAGCTACACATTTTCCTTAGAAAGCACAGAAAACCTTGATGCACGTGGGGTGAAATGGGACTAATTATTCATCTGTAGTTGCAAAGGTCTTTACCAGCACTTATGAGCTAAGCCCCATAAAAATGGATGACCCAAAAATTGAATTTGGGATTGGATCCAAGACTTTCTGGGTATAAAACACAGCTGTTCTGTTGAGTTTTAATTTTCCTTTAACTTTCTAGAGATAAATTATAATGAACAGTTTTGGTAACAGAGAAAATGGGTTTTGTCTCTTTTACCACGCATTTTATATCATCAGTATTTGACTGGGGGTGGGGGTGGTGAGTGGTACATTGCCTCCGAAAAGAGAATTTATAGTTTTGCAAAGTTAATACCAGGAGTCTGAAATAGGATCACAAAAGGATAATTAGCTCTGCTTTGTGATCTTCATGACTATGACTCTTCAATGTTGTATATAAAAATACGAATGGCATAAGTGAAGTCTACAGGACAAGCAGACGCTTCAGTTTTGATCAAATATTGCTTTTGGCCTAAGCTGTTTTGTTGATTGGAAACAATATTCCAGTTAATTCCAAATTAAGGTACTCAGTACCTATGGACTGTCAGGTAGTTTTGGTATATGATGAAGAAAATCCTCTACGCCTGTTAGCTTCACAATGCAGCTAGCTGGCCACTTTGAAACACAGAATGCTGGATTAGCAGCCCCCTTACTTTACCTTCAAGATAACCCTCTAATTATGATTTATACCTGAACCATCATCTTGAGGTCAACCTGCTGCTGAAGCAGCATGAGACTGATTCAAAGAGATCTGGCAGGAAAACAGGTTTCTACTGGAAAACGGTGCAAGCTATTCCCTATGCAAACTTTCTGGTTTTCATGGATGAGGAACCTGGGAGAGGTCAGTGACCTCCAGGATCCCAAGTGGCCAACTGCAGAACAGGGCTTATGCCTCCTGTGGCTGCTGGAAAGAGCAGAGCCTTGCAGCCAAAGTTTTCTCTTTTTTGGTTCCAGTAGAATATTAACCTTGTGGGAGATTATCTTTGGCACCTCCCACTACAGCAATCTCTGTCTTTATGCTTGTTGGAGAGCAGTGTGCAGCCCCAAAAGCTATGGAGGTGACAATGGTGCTCTTCAGCAAGCATGGAGGTATAAGAACCAGGATCTCTGTGGTGGGCAGGCAGCAAGGGATTCATACTTGGAGGACAGAAGATGGAGGCAGCAGAGAAGGGGAAGAGCCCCCTTCCCTGCTCCTCACACCCCCAACAACAGCAGCAGAAACTGCTGTTCTTGCCCTTGTGTGAGGGCAGCAACCTTGCTGGCTTCATTTTCAAGGCAGGGGAACAGGGGCACTGAGTTCTTCTTTTATTCTTCCAGTCTTACTTTTACATCCTGTGCCTTCTGCTTAAGAAAATCCATTGTGTAGCTTGAAACGTTATCAGACATCAATTGGGAATCACACTGCTCTTCATATTTGTCTAGTTTTGCTGAAACCTCATTGTATAAACTAGTATAGGATTCCCACAGGTGCAAATGAGTGTGAGCTTTCTGTAGTTTCTCTTCAATATTTTTGTTTAGCAATATCCACCTATAAAAATAAAGAAATAAAAATGAAATATAAGAGCAACCAATTTATACAGCATTCTTTTTAAAGATAATTAAAAAAATAAAATCCACTGATTCATTCATAGTAATAGAATTGAGTGATTTGTTCTGAAGACTGAAAATATTTCATCTCAAACTCAAATCAGTTGTAGGCTCTCTTTGCAGGCAGACTGTCTTTCAGAGAGAAACTTTCATTTCCAAGGAAAATACATTATTCCTGCCCTCTCTCCTGCAATGCCTCTGGTCAAATTGGAGGCAATGATGGAACAAGCACAGGATTTCTTCCCACCCTACTAGTCTTGTGCAGAAAACCCAGCCAACATTGTTGTAGCTCACTCCTGCCTCCTGAGCTCAATGATAGTTCCAAAGAGGGTCTTCCCAACTCTCATCTCAGGAACAACCTGCCCACATGAGAAGGAAGGAGGCAGTGGTGTGCCTTTTCCTTAACTGGACAATGTTCAACCTGTCTCCAACCTTCTCTTCTAGGTTTTTGAGAAGGTGGTAGAGCTACAGTTGTGTAGAGCCCTGAGGAAAAGGATCATCTGGACCATTTTCAGCCTGGCTTTATACTTGGGTATGGGACTGAAACTACATTGATTGTGTTTGTGCATAATCCTCTGGCAAGGCCAGGCTAAGGGGAGTGTGATTGTCCTGCTATTGCTTGAACTCTGGGCAGCTTTCAGTGCCACTGATCATGGCTTCTGCCTTATGTACTTGAAGAGCACCTTGAAGGTACAGCTGTTTCAGAATGTAGTGGGCATGTCGAGTAGTTATGGACATGTCATGATTCATTCATATAATAATACCTCTATTCAGAGCATCCAATTTACTTCTGGGTGCAATTCAAGGTGTTGGTTGTGACCTTTAAAGCCCTACGTAGCTCAGGACCTGGAGGTCGGGGATGTAGGCTACTCAGAGTGGGCACCAATTGGAGTGGCATGTTCCTTGTTCCTTGCTTTTGGATAGGAGGGGACTCTTTAACAGAACATTTTGTTCACACTTTCACAAGTGTGAACCATGTGAAGGGGGAGAAAAAGAACAGTATTCTTTGTTCCTCCTGCCAGCTCGCCTTCACTAAGGAGGTGGTGGAGGACCCAAAGAGAGGCATGCAAGTCTGTCCTTAAATGGGAATACACTGCTTCCAGGTGGCCTTATCATGGCTTCACTTGATCCTCCCCTTGTGGTGAGGGAGAAAGGGTTAGGCTTGCTTCCTTCCGCCTTTCCTAGCAGCCACAGCTTCTGCAAAAGGAGGAGAATGCAGGGGCAGCAGTGATTTCCTTCTCTCTCTTTCCTCTGCCAGTCAGACTTTCTCTAACTTGGGTGACTCAGTGCCCAAACATGAGCACTGATGCTGGACAGCCTGGCTCACCCTCCAGGTGCCTTCCTCATCTGCCCTTCTCTGGTGTCTTCTCCTAGCTGGACTGGAGGAAGAGCCACCTGGTGCCTGCCTACCTTCATGATCCCCACCCACCTGGTTAGTCCTCACAAGAAAGCCTTCAAACCTTTTTGGATGGAAAGGCTGCAAATGAAGAACTGGGAGCAAGTAACTAAGTGCATGCCAGCTATTGAAGGTGGTGTGGTGTGAATGGACTGAATTTACTTGTGCCACAGAAAATGAGTGAGATTGGTGAGAGTTTGAGACTCCTTTTGTAAACTTACAGATCCCTCTTGAGGAGGATGAGGGCCTCTTTTTTTAAAAAGTGTTTCTTAATACAATCTTTTTCATGTCTTCTACTTGGAATTAAAGCTATGGTGCTAGACTGAATCCTTAGTTTAAGGTGCCAGAAGACCTTTTTTTACTTTCTGCAACAATCTGTCTCACCAGGAAGATTGTAAGATTATTGCAAACATTTTAGATAGCAGCAGTGATCAGCACAACAGTGTCCAGTGTGCGTAGGAAACTTATAGGTTATTCGCACAATCACTTTGGTCCCAAAAGATAAGGATAACCAAATTAGAACCGTTCTATTGGTCTCCTGTATAAATTAAGCAATATCTTATGTCTGCTGTACAATAACTGCCATTGTATTTGCCAGAAATAATTTGTTGGAGTCAGACTTCTAAATGGTGAAAGGGGAAAAAAAAAGTATTGTACCTTGTACGTGCCTCTTTGTGTTTTTGTTCAATAATCTCTGAGAATGAGGGATCACACAGCTTCTTCAGGTTACCAGCAGCAGTCTGGAGTCTAGCCCAGATTTCTCTGTTACCCTCAGCTTTATCTTGAAGAGACTGTGGAAAGAAATGCCACTTAATTAGTTGCAAACGTGATGATGCTTGAGGTGGCGGCTATTGATATGCTACCTTATATCCCTCTTTCCAAGACAGTGTATTTTCACCAATTTAACAGGAGGTGCGTCGTGACAAGGTTGCCATCAGTAAGCATATTTTTCTAGTTTGGCAAAAAGTGGGGGATCTTCCAGACTCACTCCTCCTTCTAGGCGGCTTGGAAAATAGAAACTATCGTCTCACCTCCTGGTTGTTTTGGGCTTAGAAACCTAGTGGGAACACTCACTTTGTACAAAGAGTATGTGCTGTTTCCAACTTGATACTCTCAAGATCTAATGGACTACAACTCCCATTTCAGATGAACTACCCAGAGCTCTCTACAGATGATCCCTGAAGGATGCTTGTTCACTCCCATCTTGCTCATTGCACATCATTTTCTCTTTTCCTAAATTGAAGCAAATTGTAGCTTGCTGATTTATTTCACCTATAAAATCATGATGTATGCTTTCCACACCAAGCAGGATCAAGCACCAAGGTTTGGTCTTGATGTTCAGTCTCTGGTTTGTAGGGCTTGCATAAATCAGTTTGCTACTTCATTTCAAACTGGAGAAATACAGTATGTGGGAGGAGCAGCATATGGGCCCAGGATATCTGTTATGACTCAATCATGTAACACCACCACATACTCATTTGGCATTACTATCTAAAGCGGTTCCTTATCTTTAAGAAGGAACATTGTGGAACTATGGGGTTCATCACACTGGTCTTTGTGAAACATACCTGGAGATCTTCCACTTGCTTTTTCAGTGTCTTCACTGTAATGACAGGACTCTTGCTATGCTCCAGGCAGTACAAAGCATTTGCAAGCATCAGTCTGATTTCATCCCAAGCTTCATCATAACTCTTCCAGCACTCTAAAATGGACTGTGTAGAAGACTTCAGCTGTGCAACCTGTAAGCACACAAGCCTGTGCTTAAAAAGGACGTGTATGAAATTACTTAGCAGGACATTTGGAAATTGCTCAAGAGACACCCACTGTTGAATTTCTATTACATCATTTTCCTTCTAATACAGGCTGGATGAAAAAAAACCCCTCTAAGTATTTATTTAATAATGTAATATATAAAAGATTTCAGGAGTACTAGTGCATGCTTCAAATGAAATGTTAAAAGAAAAAAATCACTGATCAGTAAGAGACTGAAGTATCAGAATTATTTTCATTATCAATTTAATTTGAGGACAAAGTCCTGTTGTGCTTGCAGAGCTCATTCCAACATGCTTGGTTAGAGGAAGACTTACAGGAATAAATGCACTGGTTTCACTCTCTTGATGCTGACATCTCAGCAGGAAAACTCACAAATTCAGAAGTGCCTGCAGAGTTTTAAACTGCAGAAGGAACAGACAACTCAGCTGCAAGTTCTTGTTCCATGAAAGCTGAAAATTGCTATTAAACAGAGTTTTGGGTTTTTATTATTTCAAAGATTCGGTGTAAACTGTCTGTAGTTAAGCAGCATCTACAGAACTTTGGCAGTTATTGTACCAAATATAATGAATTAATGGTTGAATTTGTAGATAGAATCTGGATTTCAGATTTCACTTTTGCCATGGAGCTACTATGGAGGTTACTCATGCAGAAGAACCAAACATCAGTCCCTGGCATCACAGTTGGAAAGATCAGGTAAAAGATGATATTCTGAGCAGCCAGTGCCAATCAGAATAGACAATAATTGACTAGATATGCAAATAGTCTGATTTCATGATGCTTTTCATGTTTCATGATGTGGTGCTGGACAAAATCTGCCATCTTTTGACTTTTCCAGTTAGAGAAGGTCAATAGTGGACTAAGTTCTGTTGTAACGTCATTAACTTTACTATTAGATTGTACTGGTCTTTGATCACAATAAAGATACTTGACTTTCTATTTCAGTATTAGAGAAAATATGTTCTTAAGTCCCAGTTCCTAAGCAGAGAGCAAATGGAGGTACATGGCTCTCATGTACGGTTGGTAGATTTCTCATAAGCAGCTGACTGATCACTAAAGGAGAAAAGATGGTAGAATTTAACGTATTCCAAGCGTCTATGTTAGATCAGCCAAGTTGGCTTCCTGATTAATTTAAATGTGTGAGATCTAGTAGGACAGCACATATATTTCATAGAAAATATCATAGGTTTAATGTCTAGCAACCATAAAAGAGGATCATCCCCTCAATTCTGGATATGTGAGTGGGAAAGAGGACTGCTTTTCATTACTAGCAAAAGAAATACACTGTTTCTTTCCAGACACACTATAACAGACACATCTGCAATCATCTATGAAAATTTACGCTTGTACTTTCTCTTAAACAGAAGTTCTTTTTAAATAGAATGCAACATGTAATTTTCCAAATGGAGTTAAGTGAAAGAGGGTATTTCAGATATGGGTGCAAGTGATAAAAAGAAGATTGTGTGATACTTGTGAATCCAAATGATTGCTGACATGCAACAGAAACTATTCATACAGAAGATTGGACTGCACATGGAAACCTGAGAGTCTTCAGACCAAACTATACATTGCATTGATTGTCTAACACTATCACTGAATGCATTTTGTTTTGTTTATACATATTTTCAGAACAGGATTCCAACATGCTAGATATTTCATGCTGTCTTCAAGGAACCTATCCTTGGGTGGAATGGTTTTAAATCCTAGCTTGGAAAATAACCACTGGGTGACATTTAGCAAGTCACTAATTCTTATATATAGCCAAAAATTAAGATATCAACCTGATTGATAACGCTGGTTCTCATTTCATCCAAATCGTTGGTTGTGAACACTACTTTCTTGGCAGAATCAGCACAATCCTCTAAAGTTGTGTGGTTGTTTTTCAGTTGATCCACGTCCTTAGACTTAACAGTAAGCTGATTTTCTAACATCTGATAAATAGGTATTAGAGGAAAGGCATTATTCTTTGAGCATAATTTGGAAAAAAATAAAATGTAACATTAGAACATGGGGCATATTTTCTAAAGATCAATGCTAAGCAATATGTTAAACTAAATGGAACAGAAGTTTAAACATACTTAAGAACAACATAACAATAGCTCACCTGGATCAAACCAAGCTGCATCCTAGTCCAGTATTTTCTCACAGTGGCTAGCCAGATATCTTATAAGCAAGAGATGGAAACATACCTCTTTCCCATCATTGTTCCCCTGCATTTTGCATTTGGAGACACGCTGCCCCTCATCCAGAGGTAACATGGCTAATAGCTCTTGACAGACCAATCTTCCAAGAATGTATCCAATCCACCCTTAAAACTATGCAAGATCATCACCATGTTCTGTGTTACCAAACTACAAGTTAACAATGCACTGCATGAATACGTACTTTCTTTTGCCTGTTCTAAATCTTCTTGTAGTCTGTTTCATTGGATGGCTCCTGGTCTTACTCTTTTGAGAAAGAGACAGGTTTTGTTCACCTGTCCACGTTCTCTATGCTATATATGATTTTGTATACCTTGAACATATCACCCCTCTTCCAGCCCCTTTTTCTCTAAACTGAAGAGTCCCAAATGTTCCAGTCTTTTCTCATAAAGAAGGCCATCGATAATTTTGGTTGCCCTCTTCTGTACTTTTTCCAACTATGTTATACCCTTTCTCAAATGTGTACAATCTTCTCCTAATGATCCCTAGCATGGAATTTTCTTCTTTTACATTGAATACTGATTCAACAATTTTATTGACCTTTGACCCCAATATTTTTTCCAGGTTAGATACAGACAGCTCAGCATATATGAAATTTGGTGGGAGGGGTGGTTTGGCTGCAAAGTGTAACTTAACTGCCACTTAGGTGACTATTAATTCAATTTAATGAGCTCCTTATGCATATCTCCACAATCACTCTTGGTTTTCATCACCCAGAGTATTTTATTATTATACTCAAACTTGCCCAGGTCACTGCTTGACCTTATGTCAAGATCATTCATGAGCAAACTAAAAAACAGTGGTCTCTTGACAGATCCTTAAGGGAATGCAATTATGTACTCCACTGAGTGACTTGCCCATTTATTCTTACTTTTTGAATTCTGTTAGCAATCCATAAAGGACAAGTCAATCATGTCACTAAATTACTTAGCAGCCTTTGATGAGGAACTTTGTCCAAGCCTTTTTGAAAATCCAAATATACAAAGTCAACAGGATTACCTTCATCTGCATGCCTGCTGGCATTCTAAAACACTCTAAAAGAATTGAGACAGGATGTACCTTGATGGAATCTAGCAAGGCTTGTTCCTCTACATGTTTAGTCTTTTTTTTTTTCTGTGATTACCATTTCTACCAATTTCTCTGGAACAGGCAGTTGACCAGTCTATAATTTGAGAGTTCTCCTAAGTCCCTTTTCAAAAACTGGTGTTACATTAGCTATATTCCAGTCCATCTGGCACTGATTCCAATTTGAGAGACGAGTTACATATTTTGGCTAGATCAGTAATTGTATATTTTTTATAATAACTTAATTTTTTTAGTAAGAAACAGCAAAAACTAACAATAACTAATATTCGATACAGAACAAGAAAAAGAAAGAGAAAATTGAAAAAAAAAGATAGTAAAGATTGAAAGTGCAGAAAAGAAAAAGAGAGAAACAACAAAAGAAAAAAAAAGAATTAACTTCCGACCCTCCCTGAAACAGATATAAGTAACAATATACATCAAACACTTGCTCTAAGTTTACAACTTAACTCCCATTATTTCTATTAACCCATG